GCGGGCTGATGGACTGGAACCCCGACTTCCGCAAGATCGGCATGGAAGGTTTGGTGCTGTTGGTTAACGGGCCCGACGAGGCTCGCTCGGCGGTTCGCAAGCTTGTGAAAGACGGCGTGCAGTGGGTGAAGACGTATCCCACGGGCGACGCTGCCGCCCCAGACGCGAACGACCACCACACGCTGTGCATGACGTTCGAAGAAATGCACGCCGTGGTGAACACGGCTCATAACCACGGGATGAAAGTGACGGGCCATTGCCGTGCGACCGAGGGAATTAAGAACGCGTTGTTGGCGGGGTACGACACGCTGGAGCATGGAACGTTTATTGACGACGAGACGTTAGAACTGTTGCTCGAGCGCGATGTGCCTGTGGTTCCCGCGTTGTATTTCGAACAGGTGAGTGTTGAGCGGGGGCCTGAGTTCGGGTTGCCGCAAGCGGTGATTGATGGTCACCAGGAAACGTTGGAGGGCGGCGCGGAGAGTGCCCGTCGTATTCTCGCCGCAGGTGGGCGTTTAGGGATGGGGGGCGATTATGGCTTTGCGTGGAATCCGCATGGCGATTACGCCCGAGAGTTGGAGTTCTTCGTGAAGTATGTGGGGCTCGATCCGCTGGTTGTGATCAAGTGTGCCACGCAAACCGGAGCAGAGATTCTCGGGCAGTCCGACGCGATCGGCACGCTGGCCCCCGGTAAATGGGCCGACATTCTGGTGGTCGACGGTGATGTGGTAAATGATATCTCGGTACTGCAAGATCGCAGCCGGTTTATTAGTGTGCTGCAACGAGGGAACATTCGAGCGGGACAGTTGAAATAACCCGTCATTTTCTAGATGGAGAAGGCCGCTTTTCGCCACGTAGCGGTGGATTTGCCCCCCGGCCAGCTATAAACTGAAGGTTTAGCGTCGAGGTGTTTCCTCAAGCTCTCTCGACATCGATTTACTTGCGGGATTGTTCACTCCGCAAGCGGGCAATTCTGGGTTCGACATCTGGGGCAGGCAATGCGGTTGCGAAAGATTGCTTCTCTCGCCGCGCAACCGGCTTCGAACCATCCTCCTATTCTTGAACGTTGAGATACTTCGATGCCTTCATCTTCCCGTTCGAGTCGTCAGCAGCGTACTCGTCGCAATCGTATCGCGAAAAGTCCCGAAGCCCTCGAGCAGCGGCGGTTGTTGGACGGCGATGGTGGGCGAATCGTCCTGGAAGCGTTCGAAGACTACAACGGCAACGGTATCTACGAGCCAGACGGCGGTTTTTTTGAGGAGTCCATCTACGGGATTCCTGAGTTGACTCTCTTCAAAGATGATGGCGATCTAGAATTCAATGAAGCACTCGATCAACCTTTAGCATCTAGCTACTTTTATTTTTACGAAGATCTTGATTTTGGTCGCTACTTTGCAGTTGACCAAGGTTACCAAGCTCCGGGTAGCTCTCGAACCGTTTTGACCACGCCCTCCGTCGTAGTCTTCGATCTTGATGCCGAGAACCCGGAAGACTATGCGGAATTCGGCTACTGGTATACCGGGACTTTAGATCTCACGATCTTTTATGACACCAATGCCAATGGCGTTCGCGACAATGGGGAATCGCTTGTTGAAGGAAAGACATCCTTCATGGTTCTCGATGTCGAGGATGACTTCTCATTCATTGGTTACGTGCTCGACGGAAGCACTGGTGGGAATTGGTGGAGACGCGATGGAGATACCCAGACTCTCACATTTGGTAACGAGCGAGACGATGGTCTCGTAGTGACTAGTCCGGACCCGGTAACCGTCGTTTACGAAGCTGCCATGCGCGAAACTGCCGAATTCGGAGTGGTGGATGGAGCCAGCATCCAAATCGTTGGCTATTCCGACACCACCGGTGATGGCCGCACCACGGATGACACCCAGTTCGATATTTTGGGGTACGGGGCAAATGTGTTGATTACTGGCCAAACGCTAAATGGGCAAGTAATCGACACCGACCTGGAGGAGCTGATTGGTGAGAATTCCACAGTTAAGAATCTGTTGCCGGGCTCGTATACGCTGGAGTTAGTATCTGAAGACGACAAGCTCCAGTTGTTCTCCAGCGAACCGTTCACTCGCCAGTTGGAGGTGCGTGCTGGCGACTCGCTGTATGTCGACTTCTCCGTGTTTGTTGGGAGATCGATCGAGAAGCAGATCGATTCGTTGGTGCGGTACTTAGATCATAATTCTTATGCAGGCATTGTCGTGGAGCTATTCCGCGATAATGGCGACGGCTCTTTCGATCCACAGCAAGACACCCTGCTGGCGTCCGTTACGACGGATGCCGAAGCTCGGTTCAGCATCCCCAGCTTTGGAGCGGGGTCTTATTTTCTGGCAACCCGAATGGGGCCTTCCTACACACCTCTCGACATTTACTTTGCAAGAGATTTTGTGGCAGAGAGCAAGAAGGTTTTTGATAAGCATCTTTCAGTGCCCACAGCAGCCATCGGGGTTGAAGTATATGTTGATGCGAACTTCAATGGCATCTTCGAGCCGAGGGAGTTAGGGCTGCAAGGGGTGAAGCTGACCCTTCAGGGAGTCGACATCTTCGGGAATTTCGTCGAGGAGGAGGAGTTCTCAAGATACGACGGTGATTATACTTTTTACTCACTAATGCCAGGAACCTACTCAATTATTCAGCAGCAGCCGACGGGCTATCAAAGCGGGCTCGAAACCGCCGGCGAGGCAGGAGGGGTATCGTCGGCGAATCGTATCGACAACATTGATTTGGGCCCCAGCGAACGCGCGAAGGGTTATCAATTCGGTGAGTATGGTTCGCCAGACTTGCGGCCCGCTCGACCCGATACGGGTGACTACATTGGTGTGTTCGAGCCTCAGACGAGTTGGTCATTCCTGAAGAGAACCAATTCTCCGGGCTATACCTGGGCCGATTTCCAGTATGGCACGCCAGGGTCGAAACCGGTGGCCGGCGATTGGAACAACGACGGCTATGATGCGATCGGGATCTTCGATCCCGACAACGGTTTGTTTCGACTGAAGAACGAGAATCGTAATTCGGCTGAGGCGGATGATTTAACGCCGTTCGTTTATGGTGCCGCGGGCTTTGTACCGGTGGCCGGTGATTGGAACTTCGATGGTACCGACTCGGTGGGAGTGTTTGACCCCACCACCGCAGCTTTCTACTTGCGAAACACCAACGACTCGGGCGTTGCCGATGCAGGCCAGTTTATCTTTGGTCGGCCGGGTTGGATCCCGTTGGCGGGCGACTGGGATGGAGATGGTCATGATGGGATCGGGGTATACGATCCGGAAACTGCCACCTTCTATCTGCGGAATAGCCTCTCGGCGGGCTCTCCGGACATTGAGCCCTTCAACTTCGGAATGCCTGGCTGGAAGCCCATCGCGGGGGATTGGGATGACGATGGAATCGTGACGGTTGGTGTGTATAACCCCGATACGGCGACGTTTTTCCTGAAGAACTCCAATTCAACGGGAGTGGCAGGTATCACTCCCTTTAATCATGGAGGAGCAGGTTGGGAGCCAATCGTGGGTGATTGGAATACAAGCCGTGCAGCATTGACAAAGGCTATCCCTTTGCCGGGCGGACTGTGGACATCTCCTGTCCAGTTTGCACCTCCAATCATATTTGATGCCAGTTTCGACGATTACCTGCGGGGAGATAGTGCGGGACTTCAGGAGGCGATCGATGCCGCTGCTAATCACTCGGCTCTGATTACTCACCCCATGGGAACCGCGAACATACGATCGGATGGTTTCAGCACGCTTCCGCAATATAGCCCCGATGACGGATATACCGAGGGGATCGAGTTGGAGAATCTGGCGGTCGATCGGTTCGATGAAGATTGGCTCGATTTGTTAGCTTTGGATCAACTGTAAAACGCAACGTCCAATTCTCGGAACTTTTCGAGATGCGTTTAGTTGTCGCTCGGGGTCGATGCTCGGTAAATCGTCTGGGCGAACGATTCTAGATGCTGCATGGTGTCGCAGAAGGCGGCGTATTTCATTCGCTGGCGAAGCGGCTCGGTGAGCGAACGGCCACCGACGACGAAGGCCACACTCAGGCCGAACTGTTCGTACAGTTCTTCGTACCCGGTGAGGAATGCCTGCTCATCTTCGATGTGAGATGAGCTAAGCCAGAAGATACGGGGTCGGTGGTCTTTGATGGCTTCGGCCAGCGTGGCGAACGGGAGATTGCTGCCCAGCGAAATGGCGTTCCACTTGGCATCTCGTAAGACCAGTTCAGCCATCGTGGTGGCCAGGTTGTATTGATCGCCTTCCACAGCTCCGCCAATGGCGACCGGGGCGTTGGCCGGGGGAGATGGGACGAGCGTTCGGAGTTCGTGCAGCACGCGAAGGGCGATCGAACATCCGCGACGTTCTTGGTAGACCTCGGCCTCGCCGCATTCCCAGCGATCGCCAATCGCTTCAAAGGACGGGGCAATGACCCGATCGCAAATGGTGCTGATGCTGTGTTCGGCCAAGTAAAGATCTAACACGATCGTACGGGACTGATCATCATCGCCGGCCACCAGCGCTTCGGTCATTTGCTCGGCCGCCCTATCGATGACACGGACTGTCTGCCCTGTTGTGGCGGGCAGGCCGATCACTTCAGGCCGTACGAGTTCTTGCTCGGTACTCCTGAGAAATTCCATCAGGGCGGACACGGGAATGCGGCGGTGACCGCCGGCTGTCTTCTGCGTTGGGATAACTCCCTTGTCGCACCACCGCTTGACGGACGATTCGCTCACTTGAATTGCCCGAGCCACCTGTTTGGGGGAGACGTGTTTAGCCATGGCTGCATACTCTGGACGTTTTTCATGTCAGATTGATCACTGCCACATTCTAACACTGCTTCCAGTCTCGAAAAGTCGACCTCTGTAAGATGTTATATTTTAAATGGTTATGGCGATTTTTCGCCAATTTGTGGAAAATTGGCGGTTTTGTCGTTGTCCGCAGAGCAGTCGCCCGGTATAGATTATATGAACGAATTGAACGTTTTTTGGAGGAGCGACCATGACCGCCTCAGCCCTCAAGTCCAAACCAGCTGGCCCTAAGCAGGCTGCCAACAAAACTCGTCGGCCTGCAGCAAAGCGAAGAACTTCAGCAGTCGACCCAGCAAGGGTTGAGCAACTCTTTGGAGTGGAGATCGATTTCATTCCTAACTCATTGTTCTCAGCCGCGGATGTTGATGAACAGATTCCGCGAGAGGATGAACTTCTGGCAGTTCAGAACGAATTGAACTCCACGAAGGAATTGCGGGACTTGCCCGGTCATTTGGCGAGGCTGTGCGAATCAAAACTTCTCTCGGCCGACGAAGAGATGCGGCTATTCCGCAGAATGAATTATTTGAAATACAAGGCCCACTCGGCCCGAGAGCAGATTGATCGCAAGAAGCCCACTAAAAAGTTGGTACAAGAAGCTGAGCGAGCGCTAGAAGAAGCCGACGCGATTCGTGATCGTATACTGCAGTCAAACACACGTCTCGTGATGTCGATCGTGAAAAAGTTTGTCAGCCCTCAGCATTCTTTCGACGACCTGCTTAGCGATGGAATTTATTCCCTGATGCAGGCGGCCGACAAGTTTGATTACGACCGCGGGTTCCGCTTCAGCACTTACGCCTATCGTGCGATCGCTCGAAACACTTACCGGAAAATCAACGATCACAAGCGAGAAGGGTCTCGTTTTGCGGTGAATTCAGAAGAAGTGATTGTGTCTGCTCCGGATGAGAGTAGCTCGTCCTCCGTTTACGACGAGGCGTGGGATCGTTTGCGTGGTGTGTTGGCCCAAATGATGGACCGCCTGGATCGCCGTGAGCGATTCATCATTCGCAGCCGCTATGCGTTGGGTGCGCACCGGAAGGTGCGAACCTTCCAATGCTTGGCCGACAAGCTTGGTGTCTCGAAAGAGCGTGTTCGTCAGCTGGAGCAGCGTGCGGTGGCTAAGTTGAAGGCGTTTGCTGAAGAGCAAGCCACCGAGGAGTTCGTGAGCCCGATGTTTAGCTAGATTGGTCGCGTGCGCTCTCGTCACGGCACGCTCAATGCGAAGCGTCGATTCGAGGGGCAGTTAGGAAATGACCTGCGATGTTTATCTCGTCTACAACAGCTCTACCACAGGCCGTGAAGGCTAACCCGAACGTCTCGCAGGTGTTCTTTCGTGAGGCAAGGATTCCGGTGAAGATTGAAGAGGTTTTTGCCTGGCACGAGCGTCCTGGTGCCCTGGATCGCTTAATTCCGCCCTGGGAGACGGTCTCTGTCGAAGAGCGGGCTGCAGGCGTTCGGAATGGAGATTGTGTCGTACTGCTCAATAAGATTGGCCCGATGCCCGTGCGGTGGGTGGCCGAACATTACGACTATCAGAAGAATCTCCAATTTCGCGACCGCCAGACGATTGGACCTTTCGCTTACTGGGATCACCTTCACGCGTTTCGCTCCGATGGCGATTCTGCGACCATCATGAGCGATCGGGTTGAATACCAATTGCCCGGGGGCCCGGTGGGACGCTTGCTGGGTCAAGGCTTTGTTCGCGAGAAGTTGGACAAAATGTTCGACTATCGTCATAAGACAGTGATCGACGATTTGCGAGCACATGCCAAATACAACGAGAAGGGTACGATGCACGTTGCAATCACAGGCTCCAGCGGGCTGGTCGGTTCGGAGTTGATTCCGTTCCTCACCACCGGCGGGCATCAAGTCACACGGATCGTTCGTGGCGACCCCAAACCGGGCGAGGTTGCGTGGCATCCTTCGCAGGGCGAATTCGATCCGACCAAACTAGAAAGTGTCGACGCCGTGGTTCACCTGGCGGGTGAGAACATCGCGGGCGGTCGCTGGAACGAGGAGCGGAAACAGCGGATCCGCAAGAGCCGCGTCGAGGGGACCCGACTTCTTTGCGAGGGTCTCGCCCGCATGGAGACCCCACCGAAGGTGCTGGTCTCGGCTTCGGCCGTGGGTATCTACGGCGATCGCGGGGCGGAGTTGTTGGACGAGTCGAGCCCTGCAGGCGATGGCTTTTTGGCAGAAGTGGCCGAAGAGTGGGAGCAGGCGACGCAGCCGGCCACGGAAGCTGGTATTCGTGTAGTGAACCTGCGGTTTGGAATGATTCTTAGCCCTAAGGGCGGGGCCCTCGGCACGATGCTCACGCCGTTCAAGCTTGGGGTTGGTGGCGTGGTGGGAAGTGGCGAGCAGTATTGGAGTTGGATCTCGCTGGATGACGTGATTGGGGCCATCCATCACGTGTTGATGAACGATTCTCTCTCCGGTGCTGTGAACGCGGTTGCCCCCGATGCGGTTACCAATAAGGAGTTCACGAAAACGCTGGGGCGAGTGCTGGGGAGACCAACCGTGCTGCCGGTGCCCAAGTTTGCCGCCAAGATGGCTATGGGGGAGATGGCCGACGAGTTGCTGTTGGCCAGTGCCCGAGTGAACCCTCAGCGGCTGATGGACTCTGGGTTTGATTTCCGACAACCGAGACTCGAAGAGGCCCTGCGTCATCAGTTGGGTCGATAATCATGTCCGAACAATTCCACGTGCGGCCTTGGATGCGGTTCACCCTGGTGGCGGCCGGTATCTACAACCTGACGTGGGGTGCGGCAACGATCCTTTTTCCAACCGCCCTGTTTCGCTGGGCGGGGGCTGATCTTCCCCGTTATCCGGAGATCTGGCAATGCGTGGCCATGATCGTCGGAGTTTATGGGATTGGTTTTATCATCGCTTCTCGCAATCCGTTGCGACACTGGCCGATTGTGTTCGTGGGTCTTCTCGGAAAACTCTTCGGGCCGATCGGTTTCGTGCATGCTGCACTGCAGGGAGACTTGCCCTGGAGTTGGGGCGTTGTGATTGTGACGAACGACCTGGTTTGGTGGGTACCTTTTACCGTCATGCTGTACGAGGCGTTTCGATATCATTCTGATACTGAACGCGATGCGGAAGCGTACGACTTCGAGACAGCGATTTCTGAACCCAAGAGTCAACGCGGCGCCACGCTTGCGAAGCTATCTGCTGAACGACCAGTGTTGGTGGTGTTTCTGCGACACTCGGGCTGTACGTTTTGCCGTGAAACACTGGCGGAACTCGCCCGACAGCGACATGCGCTGGAAGCCCGCGGGATTGATGTGGCTCTTGTGCACATGAGCCCTTTGATGCAGGCCACACAGATGGTTGCCAAGTACGGGCTAGAAGACGTGCACCGCTTTAGCGACCCGTATTGCAAAATCTATCGAGCATTTGAGCTGCCACGAGCCGGGTTTCTAAACCTATTGGGGCCCCGCACGTGGTGGCGAGGCGTTCAGGCGGGAATGTTCCAAGGTCATGGTGTGGGACGCCAAGTCGGCGATGGCTTTCGCTTGCACGGAGCTTTCCTACTACATCACGGCCGAGTGATTGAGTCGTACCGGGCAAGTCTCGCTTCGGATCAAATCGACTATGCAGGCGTGGCGTGCAGTGTTGAGAGCCCAAGCTTCGCTTCTGATCCTGTGGTTGAAGCATCACCGGCTCGTCATGCGATAACTTGAGCATTTCGAACCTGACTGAACGAGTTCACCGATGGCTGAAGTTATCCTACTACTGCAGGCCGCATCGACTCTGGCGATGGTCGGTTTGATCTGGTTCGTGCAGATTGTGCATTACCCTTTGTTCGGCGCGGTGGGCCACGAGCAGTTCGCGGAGTACGAGCGTTTGCATCAGGCTCGAACGACGTGGGTTGTCGCACCCATCATGCTCGTGGAGGCATTCACCACGGTGTTGCTGTTGCTACTGCGGCCCTTGGGGGTATCTGCTGGTGCGGCCGTGTTCGGGCTGGTGTTGCTCGTTATCGTGTGGGCCTCGACCTTCTTCTGGCAGGTGCCGACTCATGCCAAGTTGGGGTTTGGTTTCAGTGCGGCGGCTCACCGGTCGCTGGTGCAGTCGAACTGGATCCGCACGGCGGCTTGGACGTTGCGGGGGCTGCTGGTTTGCTGGATGATCGGCGAAGTGTTTCTGCGGAACTCCGCGATGATCATTGCCCGACTGCCGTAATCTGAGAGGATGACGTACGGTACGTTGGTGTTTGTCGCCTCGCTCTTTGTGTTCGAGAACCCTTTGCGTCTGAGATGAAGGTCTTCTTCAGCGATATCTTCGAATTACCGCTGCGCCCCGGCCATCGGTTCCCGATGTCGAAGTATCGGCTGCTTCGCGATCGTGTGGCGGAGTTCGCGGATGAGAACGACATTAAGATCGCACAGGCGGAACCGGCGACCGATGAACAATTTCTGCTGGTGCACGATCGTGATTACTTCCAGCGGGTATTGGCGGGCGAGTTGAGCGACTTGGAAGTTCGCCGGATCGGTTTCCCCTGGTCGCCCGAGTTGGTCGATCGGTCGCGGAGATCTACGGGGGCGACCATCGCGGCTGCCCGAGCTGCGCTGAACGATGGGGTGGCTGTGAACCTGGCCGGGGGGACCCATCACGCGTTCGCCGACCGGGGGCAAGGGTACTGCGTGTTCAACGATGTGGCCGTAGCGATTCGCGTTTTGCAGAAAGAAGGCCACCTCGATCGGGCGGTGATTGTCGATTGCGACGTCCACCAGGGCAACGGCACGGCGGCCATCTTTCATGGCGACGACCAGGTGTTCACATTTTCGATGCATGGAGACAGGAACTTCCCCTTCAGCAAGGTACCTAGCGATTTGGATATCGCGCTGCCCGACGGTACGGCCGACGACCAGTACCTCGAGCTGCTGGAGGAGTCGCTGGAAAACATCTTGCCACTGAAGACGGCCGATGTGGTTTTTTACCTGGCGGGAGCCGACGCGTATGAGTGGGATCGGCTGGGGCGGTTGAAGTTGACCAAGGGTGGGCTCGGACGACGCGATCGTTTGGTGTTTTCGCGGTGCCGGAGTTTGGGGCTACCGGTGATTGTGGTGATGGCCGGCGGATATGCGGAGGATGTCGAGCAAACGGTGGCGATTCACGCTCAGACCGTGCGGCTGGCCAGTGAGTTTGCGCGAAATGCTTCAGCCGCGAGTCGGCCGGGTTCGTCCTGAGAGGCAACAATCGACCGGGCACACATCGTGGCTGGGGCCAAGATTCCCCAGGGCTGGGCGGTCGCTTGAACCAGATACCCGTTCTTCGATCAGCTCGCGGATCATCGTGATGAAGCGGGGGTGCGTGCTGGCCGTCTTCGCGCGAACCATGTTCAACCCTAGTTCCTCGCAGACTTCACGGGCTTCGGTGTCGAGGTCGAACAGGATCTCCATGTGATCGGAGATAAAGCCGATGGGGGCGATGACTACGTCGGTTACTCGGCCTTCGCCGGCCAGTTGCTTGAGGTAATCGCAGACGTCGGGTTCGAGCCACGGTTGTGAAGGGGGACCGCTACGGCTTTGGTACACCAACTGCCAGTCGTCGTGCCCGAGTTCATTACTCACCAGCCGCGCGGTCTCGCGGAGTTGTGCTTCGTACTTGCATCCGGCGGCCATCGCTGTGGGAATGCTGTGGGCAGTGAATACGATTTGTGTGGCTCTGCTTTTGTCGGGAGGGAGCTTGTCCATGGCGGTGCGAACATGGTCGACGGTTGCCGCGATGAAGCCGGGATGGTTGAAGAACATTCGCAGCTTGTGCACTTCGGGGGCGCCCGTGCCAACTTCGGCTTGGGCGTTCTCGATGTTCTCCCGGTATTGGCGACACCCGGAATAGGAGCTGTAGGCAGAGGTGAAGAACCCCAACGCGCGCTTGATTCCATCGCCGCGCATTTGCCGCAACGTATCGGGCAGCAAGGGATGCCAGTTTCGGTTTCCCCAGTAGATAGGTAGATGCGGACCATACTCTTTCAGCTCTTTTTCGAGCGCGGCAATGAGCGAGCGATTTTGCTCGTTGATGGGGCTCACCCCACCGAACTCGTAGTAGTGCTCGGCCACCTCTAGCATTCGTTCACGCGGCACGGGCTTTCCGCGGAGGACATTCTCCAGGAACGGAATCACATCTTCGCGTTTTTCCGGCCCACCGAATGAGACTACCAATACTGCGTCGTATTCACTCATCGAATGTTCGTGCCTGGGTTGTGAATTGCTTCATGCCTGGGTTGTTCAAGCGTTGGCTGAAAGGTGCGACTTGATTCGTTTCGCCTGACTTTTGATCTCCCGTCGCTCTTGCTCGCTTTTTCGCTCGATATTCTTTAGTTGCAGGCCCATGCGTTGGTTGTCGGACAAGAACTTTTCGTGTCGCATGAGGAAGTCCCAGTACAGCGTAGTGAACGGGCAAGCATCTTCGCCGGTGGCTTTCTCCGGATCGTATCGGCAACCATCGCAGTAGTTGCTCATGCGTTTGATGTACTTCCCCGTGGCGACGTAGGGCTTGGACGCCATGATGCCACCGTCGGCAAATTGCGACATCCCCAATGTGTTAGGGAGTTCCACCCATTCTACCGCATCCAAATACACGGCCAGGTACCATTCGTGCACGGCCTTAGGGTCAACGCCCAGCAGCAGTGCGAACAAACCTGTGACCATTAACCGCTGAATGTGATGAGCGTAGCCGTAATCGAGCGTCTGGCCAATGCACTGCTGCAAGCAGTTCATTTCGGTGTCTGCTGTCCAGTAAAACTTGGGCAGCGAAGCTTTGGCTTTCAGAGAGTTTCGCTCGAGGTACTTGGGCATGAACTTCCAGTACACACCGCGGACGTACTCCCGCCAACCCAGCACCTGGCGGATGAAACCTTCCACAGCGTTCAGCGGTGCCTGTTTGGTGTGGTAGGCTTTTTCGGCCGCGTCCACAACGTCTCTGGGATCGAGCAGCTTTAAATTCATGGCGGCCGAAAGCCGCGAGTGATAGAGGTAAGGCTCGTCGGTCCACAGGGCATCTTGATAGGTGCCGAACTCGGGAAGCCGGTGTTCGATGAAGTCGTCGAGAGCCTGTTTCGCCTGTTTGGGGGTGACGGGCCAATCGAAATGCTCGAGCTTGCCGGGGTGGTCAGTGAATCGTTTTTCCACCAGCTCGAGGACTTCCTTAGTCGTTGCATCTGGGGAGAAGCGTTTTGGGTTGGGGCGTTCTTCAGGGCCTTCCTTTGAAAATGATTTGCGGTTCTCGGAGTCGAAGTTCCACTTGCCGCCAAGCGGTTCGCCGTCTTTCATGAGGATGTCGAACTCGCGACGCATCTCTCGATAGAAGTATTCCTGCCGGAGTTGTTTCCTTCCGGAGGCATGCTCTTCGAACATTTCGTGCGTGGCGAAGAAGTGCCGATCGGGTCGCATGTCCAAGTCGACGTCTAATTCTTTGGCCGTCTCCTGGAAGAGTTCGCGGACCCGCCATTCGCCGGGCTCGACTAGAACAATCTTCTCGGGCCGGTGCTTGCGAACGGCGACTCCAAGTTCACTCGCGAAGTCGCCTTGGCAGCCGGGGTCATCGAGTTGCCGGTAATCGACCCGGTATTCGCGAGCGAGTAAATCATCGCGGAAGTGCCGCATAGCCGCGAGGAACATGGCGATCCGTACCTTGTGCGTCCAGACGTGGGTTGCCTCATCTTTGACTTCGACCATCCACACCACGTCGTCTTCTTTGCTGAAATCATCGAAGGCGGCGGAGTTGAGATCGAGCTGATCTCCAAGCACGGCAACAAGGTTTCGAATCGACACGGGCTTTGATCACCAGGGAACTGCGATGGGAGCAAAAAGAAACCGATCCTCGGTTCCAGCTAGCGGGGCAACACTCTGCTGGTTCCGAGGATCGGGCACACTTGGACCATCTAATACGATGTCGTTAGTTGGACTGCATGGCGTAATACGCTTGATCAAGACCTTCTCGTAGCGTCCACGATTGCTTGATCGGGCAATGCATGCCTTCAGCCTGGCTGACCGCCGATGACAGACTGTGCGTGATGTTCTCCGGCAGTTGGTCACCATAGCTCATCATCTTACGGGCAGTTGACATGTACACGTCGGCACATCGAGCGTGATGGCCTTCATTGTACAGCTTCGATCCCTTGGCAACGGCGTCGTGAATCATCTGCTGCGCCTCGGTTGAACCCAACTTCTTTTCCGGAGGCAAAAGCACCGCGTCGATGACGTGGATCACGCCGTTCGAGGCGTCGATGTCAGTTGCCACCAGGCCGGCCTTGTTGACCATGGCCTTGCCGCCCTTAGCGGAAATACTAATGTTTGCTCCCTGAAGGGTTTCGGCTTTCTTGGCCTTCAACGCATCCGTCGAATAGACCCGACCGGGTACCACGTGGTACTTGAGGATGGCGGCCAGCTTTTCTTTATTCTCGGGTTTGAGCAGCGTTTCGACTGTTCCTTCCGGCAGGGCAGCGAAAGCATCGTCGGTGGGGGCAAACACGGTGAAAGGACCTTCGCCAGAGAGGGCTTCAGCCAATCCAGCTGCGTTAACCGCGGCGAGCAAGGTGCTGAAGCTGCCGGCTTTCTCGGCCGTGGTGGGGATATTGTCGGAGGCGGGCAGAATCACACTGTCGATGACGTGGATGACGCCGTTCGAACACTCGATGTCGGTTTTCACAACGCTGGCATCGTCGACGCTGACGCTCCCGTCGTTCACTTTTATATCAACGCGTTGTCCGTTGAGTGTGGTGGCGCCTGAGAGGTCGACGACCTGGGCGGCCATGACTTTACCGGGAACGACGTGGTAGGTGAGGATGCCGGTGAGTTGATCCTTGTTTTCCGGCTTCAGCAACGTTTCAACGGTTCCCTCGGGCAGATTAGCAAATGCCTCGTCGGTGGGCGCGAAGACGGTGAAGGGGCCTTCGCCCTTGAGGGCATCGACCAGGCCAGCGGCTTCGAGTGCGGCGGCAAGAGTCTTGAAAGAGCCGGCATTGACGGCCGTATCAACAATGTCATCTGCAGCCATGGATTTTGACGGTTGGGCGGCAATCAGCGCTGCAATTGCCAGCGGCGCGATCAGGTTCAAGCTGAGCTTACGCATTGGGTTACTCCTGTTGTTCCGAGTGAAATATCCACCGGAGCGTTTCTTGAAATCGGGGGGAGAGGGTAGCTCGGCCGAGCACTGCTCACTGCCGACACCCTAGCGCGGCGGAATACTTCGACAAGCGAAAATTCTTATTCCGTAAGCGGCCCTGCTTACCACCTTGGCGAGGCGTGGCATGGCTCCTAAAGTGTCGAATTGTGAGTGGCCCCCGAGATAGGAATACCTGTGCCTGAAGGACATACGATTCATCGCATTGCCCGCGACCATCAGAACTGGTTCGTAGGTGAGAAGTTAAGGCTCTCCTCACCACAGGGTCGCTTTGAAGACGGGGCGAAGAAACTAAGTGGCCGCCGCTTAGATGCTATCGAAGCACATGGTAAGCATCTGTTCTATCGCTGGGGGCGTACCAGGCTGCACGTGCACTTGGGGCTGTATGGAAAGTTCCGCCACCACAAGAACCCACCGCCGGAACCTCGCGGGGCAGTGCGGTTGAGGGTGATCGGCGATGAGCGTGCGTTTGATCTGAATGGGCCAAACCGCTGTGAGTTAATCACGGCAACCCAACACAAGGCGATTCTCTCGCGGTTGGGGGCCGATCCGTTGCGTGACGATGCCGATCCGGACTTCGCCTGGCAACGCATTCACCGCAGTCGGGCCGCGATTGGGACACTGCTGCTCAATCAGTCGATTATCGCGGGGGTTGGCAATGTCTATCGGGCCGAGGCGTTGTTTATTCTCAACATGAGTCCCGAGCGGGCGGGCAACTCGCTGAGCCGGGAAGAATTCGATGAGCTCTGGGGGAAGCTGGTGGCGTTGATGCGGGTGGGCGTGAAACACAATCGCATCATCACGGCGGAACCCAAGTCGGTGGGGAAGCCGCGGAGCCGGATGAACCGGAGTGAGCGATTGCTGATCTATAAAAAGCCGCATTGTCCCGAGTGCGGCTCGCCGGTGGACCGCTGGAACCTGGGGGCCAGGACCATCTATGCCTGTTCGCTCTGCCAGGTTTAAAAACGGGATAGGTGGCAGACACAAAAAAACGAGAACCCCCGATCGCTCGAGGGTTCTCGCTTGTTCAAATCGCGGAGTGCTTCGCTTAGCTTGCGCTGGCTGCGAAGTACTCGCGAGAATCTTTCGGGTTCGGCTTGATGGTCCGCTCGCCGGGTTGCCAGTTGGCGGGGCAGACTTCGCCGTTCTTCTCGAAGAACTGCAGGGCATCGACCAGGCGAATGGCCTCTTCGACACTTCGACCCAGTGGCAGGTCGTTGACGAGTTGATGACGCACAATGCCGTCTCGGTCGATCAAGAACAATCCACGCAGGGCGATGCCGCCTTCAGGGATGAGGACGCCGTAGTCCTTGGAGATCGACTTGGTCATGTCGGCGATGAGCGGGTATTGAATCTCGCCGATCCCCCCCTCACTACGCGGGGTTTTCCGCCAGGCAAGGTGCGAGAAGTGGCTGTCGATCGATGCACCCAACACCTCGACATTACGCTTCTTGAACTCTTCGATCTTTTCCGAGAAGGCGATGATTTCGGTCGGGCAAACGAACGTGAAGTCCAACGGATAGAAGAACAACAGGACGTATTTGCCCTGGAAATCCGAGAGTGTCAGTTCTTTGAACGAATTGTCAGGCATGACTGCCTGGGCTTTGAAATTAGGGGCCGGTTGCTGCACCAAAATGCTCATGAAATCCTCTTACTCGAACTTGGACGCCTGAGTGTTGTTGATAATAACTATTGTTTTTGTAACTTCGATCATCTGGTTGTCAAGGCCGCCGGTGGCGGGAGAAATCGACCGAGTGAGTCGCACGTTGGGGAGCCCAGTGGCCGTCAATTGAGAAGGCTTGGGTGAAGGCGTGACCGATTGGAAATGCAGCGCCGACTAGGCACTGTGCTTGGCGATGTAGTCCTTCACGCGGACCTTGCGGGCCGTGTTTTCGCTGCTCATGAAGCGGATCTTGCCGAAGACGGGACGCTCGGGGCCCCAAGCCCGATCGTAGCGGCCGAGGATCCAGAAAATGCCGCTGTAACTGTTGGGGTCCCGACCGTCGAGAGCGTACTTGTTGTTCAGCTCGAGCATGATCTCCAGAGCGTCGCGGGGGCATTCAGTCCACTCCAGGATCTTCTTGCCCCACAGCATCCGCAGGTAGTTGTGGATTCGCCCCTCGCGAACTAACTCACGTTGTGCGGCGTTCCAAAGTTCGTCGTGTGTTTCGGCCGCTTCGAACTCCTTCAAGCTGTACACATGCTCGCGATCATCGCTTTCGTGTTCAGCCAGGGTTTCCTGCGCCCAATCGGGCAGCGACTCGTATTGATCGTAGTCTTCCTGTTGCCAGACCATGTTGAAGCCCAACTCGCGCCAGGTGATCAGCTCGTCGAGAAACGACTCGACCGGCTCGCTGGTGCCCCACCAACCACTGGAAGATCCTGTGGCTTTCTTGGCAAGCTTGCTGGGGGTCCAGTTATCGCTGGTGACGGTCTCGGTGAATACCTGATGCGCGGAGATGTGGCCGAAGTGCAAGTAGGGTGACAGCCCGCTGGCTGCTTCTTCCTCGGGTTGGTTGCGCGACTCGTAGTTTTCGAGCTTCGCATCGATGAAGTCGCGGAGTTGTTTTCGTGCGGCCTTCATGCCTCCGGAAGTCGAAGCAACTTTCACATCGTGATCGATGGGAAAATCCCTCATGCTCTCAGGATCTTCTGCCAACTTCTCCACCTCGGCCACAGGCCAACGTTTGGTGATGTCGGAGGGCAACTCATCGAGTTTGGGGATTTTCTCATCCACCAAAGGGTCGGGCTCTGGCATTTCGTCCAAATAAGGACGCAATTCGCGCTGCAAGAAACGGCGAAAGTCGTATGCCCTGAGAAAGACCTTGTGGGCCACCCTCATTGGTAGCAGGCCGTTGCTGTCGACTAATTCGAAGCGGACGGGGATTTGTTTCTTGGCGGCTTCCTGCATTCTTGGAAGGAAGAAGCAGGGATAGTCGTCGCTGACCACCACGCAGGCCTTTTTTGCCAATTCGCCCAACAGCCCCTTCCCGTCGCCGGGCTCGGGTTCGAGGTAGGGGTAGTAGAGCAGGCGTTTGCGGCTGAAGTGCGTGGCGTTGTCGGCCATTCCCTGGATGACGAAATAGTGCAGTCGGTCGCTGGCCCAGCGGTAACCCGCCCTGAGGGCTTCGAACACGATGAGGGGCTTGTCCAGCTCTTTGGACCATTCCACGGCCCTTTGCAGGCTGAAGTTCCACTCGGCCCGGCGGTTCGCGACCATCCAATACAGAACGAAGTCGCCGTCGGCTTGAACTTCCGCATCGCTCGCCACAAGGATGCGGCTCTCGGGCACACTCATCTAGCACCTGGTCGAATAAAAACGCTGGTCATTTGCTGTTCACCGCTAATAGTATTCATGTAGTCTAATATTCTGCGAGCCTGACAACCCCCAACGAATGTATGGCAGTTGTGACCCATCAAACAGCACCGAATCGGGAGTCGAATCCTGCGGAGAACGTGGGGCTCGTGCTTTTGACTGGCGCGACTGGTTACGTCGGGGGAAGACTGCTCTCGCGACTCGAATCTTCCGGAGTTCCGGTGCGATGCTTGACACGACACCCGGAGAGTCTGGCTCCTCGGGTGGCCGAGACGACGGAGGTGGCCGAGGGAGATCTACTCAAGCCGGACACGCTCGACGAAGCTCTCAAGGGAGTCGATACCGCCTACTACTTCGTTCATTCGATGGGCACGAACTCCGACTTCGAGAAGGAAGATCGCGAGGCGGCTCAAAACTTTGTGAAGGCGGCCGACAAGGCGGGTGTTCGGCGGATCATCTACTTAGGCGGTTTGGGGGAACGCGACGAGAATCTCTCGAAGCATCTGCGTAGTCGCCAGGAGACGGGTGAAATATTAAGGGCGTCTCGGGCGGAGGTCATTGAGTTTCGTGCTTCGATCGTGATCGGTTCCGGCAGTTTGTCCTTCGAGTTGATTCGCGCGCTGGTCGAACGGCTGCCGGTGATGATTTGCCCGCGGTGGGTTGCTGTGAAAGCACAGCCTATCGCGATCGAGGACTTGTTGGCATATCTCACCGAGGCCCTGGCGTTGCCCGACGGCAGATCGACCATCGTGGAAATCGGTGGGCCCGATCAGGTTTCTTACGGCGAGATCATGCAAGAGTACGCTCGGCAGCGAGGGCTGTATCGTTTGATGATTCCGGTGCCGGTGCTCACGCCGTACCTTTCCAGTTTGTGGTTGGGGCTGATTACCCCGGTTTACGCCAGGATTGGCCGCAAGCTGGTCGCCAGTCTGAGAAATCCGACGCTGGTGACGAGTTCGGTGGCGGAAGAGATGTTCCGTGTGCGACCGCGGGGGATTCGCGATGCCATTGCCCGAGCGTTGGCCTACGAAGATCGAAAGATCGCCGAGACGCGGTGGAGCGATGCCGTATCGTCTGGCGGGCCCACCAAGTCTTGGGGAGGGATTCGGTTTAGGTCTCGGATCATCGACACGCGGACGACGGAGGTTAGCGTGTCGCCCCGGCAGGCGTTCGCGCCCGTGCGACGCATTGGGGGCCGCAAGGGCTGGTACTACGGCGATTGGCTGTGGCATGTGCGTGGATTTCTCGACCTGCTTGTTGGTGGGGTCGGAGTGCGGCGGGGTCGTCGCGATCCGGACCACGTGCGCGTGGGCGATCCGTTGGATTTCTGGCGGGTCGAGGCTTATGAGCCCAATCAGCGGCTGCGGCTGCAGGCCGAAATGAAAGTGCCGGGTCGAGCTTGGCTCGAGTTCGAAGTGACAGGCGAGGGAAGCGGTAGCACGATTCGGCAAACGGCAATCTTCGACCCCGTGGGGCTGGGCGGGTTGATGTACTGGTACGCGCTGTACCCGCTGCATCGCCTGATCTTCGCCGGCATGTTGAAGAACATTGCGGCGGCGGCCGAAGCTGAGCCCGTGGGAGTCGGCCAAGACGAGTACTCTTCTTCAATTGGGCCAGGACAGCATGAGCCAAACCACGACTGAACGCATGGATTGCATGGAAGTCTGGGGTGGCAATCAGGCGACTGATCGCAACTTCCAGACGCCCGGCTTAAACATTTGGATTTACAGCCGCCCTTATGGAAAAGCGGCCGGAGGGGGCGATGTGTATTATCTTTCTTCCTGCGCCTCAGGGCGGATCACCCGGATGCTACTGGCCGACGTGAGTGGTCACGGCGAAACGGTCTCTCGTGTGGCTGTCGGGTTGCGAGACTTGATGCGGCGGAATGTCAACTTCATCAAGCAAACTCGATTCGTGCGAGCGATGAATCAGCAGTTTGGCGAAGCTTGTCAGCAAGATGGGTTCGCTACGGCACTGGTGAGCACTTTCTTTGCCCCGACCAGAAGCTTCACGCTCTGCAATGCTGGCCATCCGGCTCCATTGATTTACCGCCAAGATGCTGCCGCGTGGACGGAACTGACTAGCGATGCGGAGCCGAGTGAGGCGGTGAGCGACACGCCGCTGGGGGCGGTGGACGAGGCGAATTACTTTCAGCTCGACGTGCGTCTTCAGCCCGGCGATATGGTGCTCAGCTTCAGCGACGCATTGACGGAATCGCTCGACACGCCTGGTCAACCATTGGGAATGCGGGGAGTTTCGCAAATCATTCGTGAATTAGATGTCACGAATCCTGCGGGGATGGTTCCTTCGCTGATCGAGCGTATTTCGGCGCTGAGCGAGGAAAATTTGGAGCAAGACGACGCGACTGTGTTACTTTGCCAGGCGACCGGAGGCGGGCCGTCGCTGAAGAAGAACCTTTTGGCTCCCTTTCGCCTGTTTCGACCCGTGGTGGATCGCACTCAGCTTCGCCAGGAGGATGCTAAGCAGCACTAGTGGGACTTGCGGTCTCATTTTTCCGCAGCAGTAGGTCACTTAATGGAGCAGAGGCCGGCAGACGGATGAGTTGGATGAGCATGTAGACGGCCATGGCGATATTGCCCAGGCATATGATCAGCACAAACCACAGAACGCGGCTCCAGATGGCGGTTTCTCGGTACGCCACCCAAACATAGAACGTGATGAACCCACAATAGGCATCCAGCAGCGTTACCTGAAACCAAGGGTCGGAAAGCAACTCGCCCCCTGCTTCGAAGATACCTCGATCTTGCGAGGCTAGGACCGAGGCGACCACCATCGCCAGCAGGATCGTGGCAAACAAGAACATCAAAAAGACGCGCATAGGACAAGCTCCGGCACGAGTTCAGGCTTGGCAACTACGTAACATAGTAGGGTGGAGGTCGAAAAAAGAAGCCTGTCTAAATTCCCGTCGACCAGGCCGCGTCCCCTTCGCATGTTGTGATCTGAGGATTCGATGAGTTTCTCAACAATCTTGGTGATGAACTTCGCTCTGGTGGCGGCGCTCACGTTTGGTTTGTGGCTGGTGAGTCTGTTACTTCGTGACGCGAGCATCGTCGATATCTTCTGGGGCTTGGGTTTTGTTGTTGTGGCTTGGGCTTCGTTTCTTGCAGTCGGGTCGTACTCACCTCGAAGCTGGCTGATCACAGTGATGGCCACTATATGGGGGCTGCGACTGGGCGGCTATTTGGCCTGGCGGAATATCGGGAGTGGTGAGGATTATCGCTACCAGAATATGCGGAAGCGATTCGGCAGTGGCTGGCCGATCATCAGCCTATTCTATGTCTTCTGGCTGCAAGGGCTGCTGATGTGGATCGTCGCCTTCCCATTGCAGGCGGCGCATTTAGAAAGCAGCGCTCTGGGCGTTCTTGATGTATTGGGAGCCGTGGTGTGGCTCATCGGGATGTTCTTCGAGTCGGTTGGCGACTGGCAACTGGCCCGATTTAAGGCCAGTGAGGAGAGCAAGGGCCAGGTAATGGATCGTGGGCTGTGGCGTTATACCCGGCACCCGAATTATTTCGGCGACTTCATGGTGTGGTGGGGGCTGTATCTTGTCGCTGCGGCGGGTGGTGCCTTGTGGACAATATTCAGCCCGTTGGTTATGTCGGTGCTGTTGATGCGGGTTTCCGGCGTGACGCTGTTGGAACGCTCGCTCAAGAAGCGACGCCCGGGCTACGAGTCGTACGTGGCTCGCACGAGTGCTTTCTTTCCTTGGCCGCCGAAGCAACAAGTTGCCGGTTGAGTCCAGTTTCAGAACAACTTCGCAACGCTCCTCGGTCGTGCGTTACAATGTCTCCCGGCGGCTTCACCAAAGGCCCGCAGAGTGACGAATACATCTTTTGACCGAGGTCTTGGGTTTCTATGCGTACTAAGTCTGTCTTTCGCGTTATCATTGCGATCGTGTTACTGGTCCTCGTTCTGATCCCGGTCGCGTTCGCCACAATGAGTTTCTTCGCAAAGCGGCCCGACAATTTAGGCGTTCACGACGGGCACTTGGCTGCCTGTCCCGATAAGCCGAACTGCGTCTGTTCTGATGTGGACGATCCAGCACATGAGATCGAGCCGATTCGTTATTCAGGTTCGGTTGATGAGGCCATGGGCCGGTTGCGTAAAGTGTTGGGCGAGCAGCCTCGAACGACGATCGTCTCCGAAGATGGCAACTATATCCACGCGGAGTGCCGCAGCCTGATCTTCCGTTTTGTCGACGACGTGGAGTTCTATGTCGATCCGGAAGCAGGTGTGATTCAGGTGCGGTCGGCTTCACGGTCGGGGCACTCTGATTTCGGGGTGAACCGCTCGCGGGTGGAGACGATTCGGGCGGAATTCGATCAGGAAAGCCCAGCCGGCAATCCGGCGGCAGACGCGACTTAGGCTGAGGTGGCGGTGTCTTAACTCCTTATTGCTCAAGTGTTTCGGTCGGGGGTTGGCGAACGGGAGGGGGATACTAGAGTACCTCAATGGGAAATGCTTTCCGCCAAATCTCTCCAGTCCGGAGTCAATCGATGCTAAGGCCCCTCTGGCGAATTTTCTGTGTATGGACGCTCATAATCTTCCTCATGAGTGGCGTCGCGATTGCGGCCGAGGTTCCCACGGCACCCAACTGGCCACAGTGGCGAGGGCCAACCCGCGACGGCAAGATCGCCGAAACCACCTGGCCCGAGCGATTGACCGAGCAGAACTTGGAAAAGCTGTGGTCGAAGCCGCTGGGGCCGAGCTACTCGGGGCCGATTGTCAGCGAAGATCGGGTGTTCGTCACCGAGACCAAAGACGAAGCCTACGAGGTGGTGCGTGCATTGGATCGAGCCACCGGTGAGGAAGTCTGGTCGACCGAGTGGAACGGTTCGCTGGAGGTGCCTTTCTTTGCGAAAGCCAACGGGGACTGGATTCGCTCGACTCCCGCTTACGATGGTGAGCGGCTTTACGTGGCTGGGATGCGGGATGTGCTGGTCTGCCTCGATGCGGCGACCGGCGATGAGGTTTGGAAGATCGACTTTGTCGAACAGTTGAAAACCCCCGTGCCCGACTTTGGCTTTGTTTGTTCTCCGTTGGTTGAAGGAGAGTACGTTTACGTGCAGGCCGGCGCGGCGGTCGTGAAAATCGATAAGCGAACTGGAGAGATCATCTGGCGAAGCCTCGATGACGGCGGGGGGATGTTCGGCAGTGCGTTCTCGTCACCGGTGCTGGCTGAATTGAATGGGCAACAACAGCTTGTCGTGCAGACGCGCACTACGCTCGCCGGAATCGACCCCGAGAATGGCGATGTGCTGTGGTCGCAAGAGGTGCCGGCTTTCCGTGGGATGAATATCCTGACCCCCACGATTATCGACGATGCGGTATTCACCAGCAGCTATGGCGGGAAGACCTTTTTGTTTGACACGCCTGAAGTTTCTTCGGAGACAGGCGAAGCCGATCAGGTGTGGGTTAACAAGAGCCAAGGTTACATGTCTTCTCCGGTGGTGATTGGCAACCATATCTATCTTCACCTGAAGAATCAGCGGTTCACCTGCATCGATCTTTCCACAGGAGAATCGACCTGGACGACCACCCCGTTTGGCAAATACTGGAGTATGGTGGTCAACGGCGACCGCATTCTGGCGCTCGATGAGAAGGGCGACCTGTTACTGATTAAGGCCAACCCTGAGGAGTTCGAACTGATAGACAAGCTCCACATCAGCGACGAGTCAACCTGGGCCCATCTGGCGATCAGTGGTGATGAAATCTTCGTGCGAGAGCTGCGTGGGATCTCGGTCTATCGGTGGAGCGAAGGTGCTGAGTAGGCTGTTCGTTTGAAAAATTCGTCCCCCCGGGGGTAATTGATGATGACCACACAAGTTGCAACGAGACAGCCCAGTGCTCCGACTCGCATGAGTTGCATGGAAGTCTGGGGTGGAAATAGCGCCGCAGCCGAGCACTTCGCAATGCCGGGCTTGGATGTGTGGGTGTCGAGCAAGCCCCGGCAGTACAGCTCCGGCGACGGAGGTGAGGTTCATTTCATTTCGTCATGCGCCTCGGGACGAATTACCCGTATGCTGTTGGCCGACGTCTGCGCTCAAGATGCGGGCTTCGTGGAGTTGTCCACAGAACTGCGCGCGCTAATGATGAAGAACGCGAACGCCATTAACCAAGGGCGGTTCGTGCAGGCTATGAACGAGCGATTTGGGGACTTCGCCGCCCAGGGGGCGTTCGCCACGGGGCTGGTCACTACGTTCTTCGCGCCGACACGTTCTTTCAATATGTGCAATGCGGGGAGTCCATCGCCGCTCATCTATCGCCAGGCCGTGGGGGAGTGGTCACTGCTCAAGCCGTCGGTGCCGCAGGAATCGACTTCGCCGGGGGATGCCCCCGATGAAAGGATGCTCGAAGACGAATACCAGCAGCTTTCAACTCGGCTAGAAGATGGTGACATGGTGCTGAGCTACAGCAACGTGCTGACCGAGTGCCGCGACGCGAATGGACAGCTTCTCGGTACACAAGGGTTGCTGGAACTGGTGAAACAAAGCGACCCCGCCAAGCCGGCCGAATTGGCTGCGAGCTTGATGCGGTTGGTTGATTCTGAAGACGGACTCGCCACTGACGCAACGATTCTGTTGTGTCAGGCGAAAGATCGCTCTGTGGGGTGGAAGAACAATCTTCTGGCCCCTTTCCGGCTGCTAGGTTCGGTGGCGGACAATACCCGGTTGCGATAACGGGTTGTGCTACAACGACTGCGACCCTTCTCGATTTCTCTTTGCGCCCTTTCTGCGCGGTCGTCCTTTTCGTAGCATCGCGCTACAATGAGACCCCGGCAAGAAGCCATGTCTCATTTCCGCCCCGTTGAATTGCGAGCAACGAGTTTCCCACTGAATCTAGTGGGATGAACTCCAGTCCACGCGCGAAAGCAACCGTTTATGAAATCGCTTGAAGCATTGCTGCAAACCTTCATCGAACTGCACCCCGAAGACGCTGCTCGGGCTTTCGAGACCTTGGACATCGAAGAGGGGGTCGGGGTGTTCAAAGCCATGCCGACGGAAGTCGGGGTTCCACTGTTGGAACGGGTAAGTCCCCACATGGTCGCGGCAATCCTGCGTGAAAGCGACGTCAATCGGGCGGCTGAAATCCTGCAGGATCTATCTCCCCGAGTGGCTTCCTCGATTCTGCATCAGCTCGATGAAGAAAAACGCGAAGAAGTGCTGGCACTTGTCCCGGAGAAATCTGCCCACCAACTGCGGGCGCTCGCTCGGCATCACGACGATACGGCCGGGGCGATCATGGAGCCCCGCGTGGCTTCGCTGTCGTTCGATCTGACGGTTGAGCAAACCATTTCCGCCATCCGCAAAGCCCCTCGTGAGGCCCTGCATTATCTCTACGTTACCGAGCGGGACGGCAAGCTGGCCGGTGTGCTGAACATGCGGGACCTGCTGCTGGCCAACCCGCGCGATCCGATCGCTTCGCTGGTACGGCGAAATCTGGTGACCGTGCCCGAGACGATGCCCAGTGAAGAGGTCGTGCAATTGATGCGAGACAAAGATTTCCTGGCCCTGCCGGTGGTCGATTTTGAAGGCCGGCTGATTGGAGTGGTGCAGCATGCCGAAGCCTTGCAAGCTGGACAAGAAGCGGCGTTCGAAGACCTGCAAACCATCGTGGGTGCGGGAGCCGACGAACGGGCCCTCTCGCCTGTGAAGGTGGTGGTGAAGAGCCGGCTGCCGTGGTTGCTGGTGAATCTGGCCACGGCGTTTCTGGCGGCTTCGGTCATTGGAGTTTTCGAAGGACTGATCGCCAAAGTGGCCGCATTGGCGGTGTTGCTTCCCGTGGTTGCCGGTCAGGGTGGAAATACCGGCTCGCAGTCGTTGGCCGTGGTGATGCGGGGGTTGGCCTTGAGGGAGATCATCCCCGGAACGCAGAAACGCGTGGTTGCCAAAGAAGTGCTTGGCGGGGTCATCAATGGAGTGGCTATCGCCATTGTCACTGCGATCGCAGTCTTCGGGTGGAGAGTATCTTCTGGAGATACGACGACCTCGTGCCTGGGGCTGGCACTGGTCATCGGATTCTCGATGATCATCAGCATGGCCGCTGCGGCGCTTTCCGGGGCTGTCATTCCGCTGATCTTGCGGGCGCTGGGCCGCGACCCTGCCCAGTCGGCGGCGATCTTTCTTACCACGGTGACCGACGTGGTGGGGTTTGCTTCGTTCCTGGGCTTCGCGGCGGTGTTCATGCCGATGATCAGCTAGGGACCCGCACCGCTAGCATCCCCCCCTTCGGAATCGAAACCTGCGGTTTCTAAGCCTGCCGCCGTTTGGTACTCTCCGCGACCGCTTTTCAACCAGGCCTTTCGCAGGCAAGTCTCGCGCACGCCGTTCTGGCTAATCGTGAGAAGAAACACTCATCAGGGAAGATGTGTCGTGATGAATTCACGTCGGTTGTTGCTGCTGTCTATTGTTGCGCTCGTGTCGTTTGGTCCCCGTCCAGCTGTGGGCGAAGAGTTGACCACCGCGTTGATGGCGATTGCGCAGGAGACCGAACCTGCGGCGTTCGAGGCCGACCCGGAGGCGTCCCTTTCTACCGAGGTGACCCCTGCGGCGATTGAGAAGGTGAAAGCTGAAGCGACGGCCGCCGAGCAACTGCCTGAAGAAACCAAGGCTCAAATCGTCGAGCTCTGCGACAAGGCTCTCGCAAGTCTCGCAGATGCACAAAACCTGGCCGCCACGACCGCCACCCTTCAGGCGGAACTCGATGGAGCTACTAGCGAACTGGAAGCGTTGCAGGCAGAAGCTCCCGCCGCTAACCCCGAAGCTGTTTCGATCAAGGGCCTCAGTGCCGATGAGATCCGAGCCCTTCTTTCCACTGCTGACCAGGAGGTAAGCACTGCGAGAGAGAAAATGCACAAAGTGGCCGGCGAGATCGAACGTCGTGCTCAGCGACGCAAGGAACTTCCCGACGCGCTGGCTAAGTGCCGGGAACAACTCGGCAAACTGAACGAGGTGCTCGCACAACCGATTGAAGGTGAGGTCGCACTGCTTGCCGAAGCCCGACGATTGTGCACCCTGGCTCGCCATACCGCGCTGGTTAAGGAACTGCTGCTGATTAAGCAACAAGCCCGCACGTTCGAAGCCACTTCTCGTTTGTGGTTGGCCCGTCGCGACGCGGCTGACAAGAAGGTGGCCGCTGCCGAGGACAAGCACAAGAAGATCAACGAACTTGCTGCTGCTGCTCAACGCGAAGAGGCCGCCCAGCAGGCATTGGCGGCTCGCAAGGCTGCGGTGAACGCGCATCCCGCGGTCAAAGAGGCCGCCGCCAAGAGCGCGGAACTCGCCGAGCGGAATCAGGCGTTGGTTCGTCGCACCCAGGAAGTGCAGAACCGGTTGACCGAAGCGCAAGAACTCGGGCGAACGATGACGGACCGCTACGAGGATGTAACCCGTCGGGCCAATGCGGCGAAGAACACGCCGGCCATCGGCGAAATGCTCCGCAGCCAGCAGAATCAACTGCCAGCCTTGGGACCGTATCGTGTCCGCCTGCGGAATCGTGAGGTTGAACTCCCCAAGCTAGGGCTTGAAGTCTACGAGTGGGAATCGATGCGCCGCGAAGCCGTGCATGTTGAGAAGGCGGTGGAGCAGGCGATTGCCGAGATCGAAGCTAACTCGGAAGAGACCCTACACGAATACATTCAGGCGGAATTGCACAGTGTTCTGAAAGAACGGGCGGTGATTCTTACCGAGTTGATCAGCAACGCCAATGACTGCATCAGCCGCTTGGAAGAGTTGGACGTCGCTGAAAAGGAAGTTGTGAAAACCACCGAGCAACTGGCCTCATTCATTGCTGAACAAGTTCTGTGGGTCCGCAGCGCTTCTGGTTTTTCGTACAAAGAGCTGGAGTATGCCAAGAATTTCAGCACCAATATTCCAGGGCGAATCGAACAAGCAAAATCGCTGCTTGCTGTACTTCGCGCGGACCTTCGTCAGCGGCCCGGCATCTGGGGATTGGCCGGAGTACTGGTTCTTGTGCTGCTGATTGGAATCCCTCGCGCTCGTAAGGTATTGCAAACTCGGGGTGAGGTGGCCTCCAAACCAACTGCAACGCAGTTTCGACCTACGGTTGAAGCTACCTTGGCCACGCTGTTTCTGGCATTACCGGTACCGGTGGTCGTGGGCTTTGTTGGTTGGCGGCTCTATCAAGATCCGGCTGGTTTGGCTTACGCCACGGGATGGGCGTTTTTGTTGTACGCCGGCGTGTATGCCATGTTGAACCTTGTGCGGTTGGCATCGCGCACCGACGGGCTCGGCACGAACCATTTCGGTTGGGATCAAAAAGGGCTGGCCGACATACGACGGGCGTCGCGTTCGCTTCAGCTCTTTGTGCTCCCTCTGTTGGCGGTTGCCGTCGGGGTGGAGTTCGCACACGACCAAGACAGTGCGGACGCCATTGGCCGGATTGCACTGATCTCTTCTCTGTTGATTCTCAGTGGGATCTCCTTTCGCCTGTTTCGCCCCAAGGGTGCACTTGCGCTCGCTCTGGCCTCGTATGCGAAAAGCTCGTTGAGTGCCCGGGCCGTTCGGGTTTTGGCGCCTTTGGCCACGTTGGCCGCACTGGGGCTGATCGTGGCCTCTGCCGCGGGCTATCACTACACGGCGGTGCAACTTACGAAGCGGGTGTTCGTCTCGTGTGTATTCGTGTTTGCTTGTCTGTCGTTGCGATCGTTGCTCATGCGATGGCTGCTGGTTTCGTATCGAAAAGCTGCCATGCAACGGGCCCGCGAGAAACGTCAGGCGATGCTTGAAGCCCAGGAAAATGGAACAGCAGATACGCCGGTGGTGGAAGCTGAGCCACATGTGAGCCTGAGCGATATCAATCAACAAGCGAGGAAACTTGTCGCTGTAGGGGCTGCGTTAGCGTTTGTCACTTCAATGTTCTTCGTTTGGAGCGACGTGCTTCCGGCACTGGGCATCTTCAGTCGCGTTGAGTTGTGGGCAAGTGGACTCGCATCGCTCGACCCAGAGGCGGGAGTGACCTACATCACGCTGACGGATGTTTTCTTCGCGTGTGCCATCTTCGCCTTGACCATCTTCGCGGGGCGCAACTTGCCGGGCCTGCTGGAGATTGCCATTCTGCGACGGCTGCCGCTTGATGCTGGGGCCCGCTATGCGGCCAGTTCGGTGACGTGCTATGCGATTATGGTTGTTGGTGTGGCGTTTGGAATGCGACAACTGGGAGTTGGCTGGCAGAGCGTGCAGTGGCTCGTCGCTGCGATGACGGTTGGTCTCGGCTTTGGTTTGCAGGAGATCTTCGCCAACTTCGTGTCAGGCATCATATTATTGTTCGAACGCCCGGCCCGCGTGGGCGACACGGTCACGATTGGGACCATCACGGGTACTGTGACAAAGATTCGCATTCGCGCAACGACGATCCTCGATTGGGACAACAAAGAGTTGATTGTCCCCAACAAAGAATTCGTGACGGGCAACCTGGTGAACTGGACGCTGTCCAACGCGAACATTCGGCTGGTGGTGAAGGTGGGGGTTGCCTACGGAACCGATACCCGGCTGGCCACCGAGTTGCTCTATCGGATCGCAGAAGAGCATCCAGATGTGATGGAGGAACCAGAGCCGGTGGTCGTGTTCAACGCCTTCGGGGATAGCAGTCTGAACTTTGAACTGCGAGTGTTCGTCAGCGATTTGTCGATGTATCGTCGACTGCAGCACGATCTACATATGGCGATTGATGATGTCTTCAAGCAGAACGAAATCGAGATCGCCTTCCCGCAGTGCGACCTTCATGTTCGTTCGCTGCCCGCGGCGCTGCGAAAGTCCTTCAGTGCACAACAGACGGCGAAACTTCCCGATCCCCGGGAAGCGGCAGCGTGAGGGAAGAAACACGACGGGATTATTCAGGATCGTCGGCCGCTCGCCAGTCGGCGAGTTGCAGTTCGACGGTGCGGCGACCGCGGAACTCATTGATGTAGGGGCGGAAGGCGATCTTCAACGGTCGGTCGACCGCAGCCATCTCGTCGGCCCAGTCACCACCGCCGAAGGCCACGCCACGCATTTGCATACCGTGTTGCGAGAACTTCAGAGCCAGATGACGGCCCCCACCGCCGATTCGTCGTGGGGCTTCTGCAAGGTCGACACCCGTGGCACACAGCATGGGGCGCCCGTTGCCTTGGCCGAAGGGTGCTAGTTGCTCGATTTGAGATACGGAACTTAGCGTGAACGCGCTCAGCGGGGCTTCGGCGTCGATCCACAAGTCGGCCACTTGTTTGTCGTCGGTGATCTCGCCGGCGACGTACTCGCAGAAGTCTTCGCGAAAGGCCTCGATTCGCTCGGGCTCGATCTTCAATCCCGCGGCCGCTGCGTGACCACCGTGACTGAGCAGATGCTCGCTGCAACTGGCCAGCGCTCGACAGAGATCGAACCCCGGCACACTTCGAGCCGACCCGGCCGCTGCTTTGATGCCCAATTCGTCGATCGAGATCATCACCACGGGGCGATGGTATTTCTCGGCCAGTCGACCGGCGATGATTCCAATCACCCCGGCGTGCCAGCCACGCTCGGCCAGCACCAGAGCCGCGTTGTTATCGGAGTCGAGCTGTTCTTTGGCCTGTTTGTTTGCGGCCAGATAGATGCTGCGCTCGAGACTTTGCCGGCTGTTGTTCAATTCTTCGATGTATTCGGCGAGTGCTTGGGCTCGTTCGGCCGACTGTGTTGTGAGGAGTTCAACGGCCAGTTGAGCTTGCCCTAGCCGGCCCGAGGCATTGAGCCGGGGGCCGAGCATGAAGCCGATATCCTCGCTGTCGAAGCTTTGCTTGTCGGCGATGCCACACACTCGCATCATGGTGGCCAGCCCCAGAGTTGGTCGCTGCTTCAAACTCACCAGTCCGTGACGAACGATGATGCGGTTCTCGTCCACCAGAGGAACCACGTCGGCCACGGTGCCCATCGAAGCCAGGGCGACCGACTGCATGAGAAAGTTCTTCATTCGCTCGCTAACTTTGCGAGCCCCGCAAGCGCGTTGGCAGATGGCCCAGGCCACCTTGAAGGCCACGCCCGATCCGCTGAGTTCGCCGAAGGGATAGCTGCTGCCGGGCAGTCGCGGGTGCACAATCGCTGCAGCCTGGGGCAAGCGATCGGTCATTTGGTGATGATCGGTAATGACCAGCTCGATGCCCAACTGGGCTGCGATTTCGGCTTCGGCCACACTGGCGATTCCGCAATCGACCGTTACTACCAATGCGGTGCCGTTTGAGGCCAGCGTCTTCAGGGCTTCTTCGTTCAGCCCATAGCCTTCGTCGAGGCGATGTGGCACGTAGTAGCCAACGTCGGCCCCCAGCATCTTCAAGCACTGCCACAGCAAGGCGGTGCCCGTCATGCCGTCGACGTCGTAGTCGCCGTAGATGACGATTCGCTTTTTGTCGGTGACCGCGCGGTGAATGACTTCGACCGCTTCGGGAACGCCCGGCAATTCGTTGGGGTCGCGGAGGCCTGTGAGGCGGGCATCTAGAAAACTGCGGGCGATGCTCGGGTCGTGAAGGCCGCGGGCGATGAGAAGTTGGGCCACAAACGCCGGAACGTCGATGGCTCGACGCAACGCTTCGATGCGTTGAGGGTCGTGGGGCCGGATGCGCCAACGTTTCTTCATGATTCGCGAAGTTCTCGTCCTGAGGAGGCCCACACCGGGGCTCGAGCATCGCTGTATTGAATCAAAACCCCGGCACATGAACAAGGTATTGAACACAGCGAGGGCTACGCTGGTTCGACGGCGCAAAAAATAAAACGGGTGTCAGCCGTCATGGGTGACACCCGTTTTCTGGGGCCTCGACCTGTTCCGAGTCCTGAGAAACCCCCACGATTTCAGTGCTTCCTCATTACCGAGTGGCGGAGGCCAAACCCACGGGGCCGACTTCGAATCGTGCTTCGTACCCTAAACTCTCCAGGAACTTGCTGGCCGCGACGTATTCCGTCGGGGGCAGTTCGCGGATCTTGCCCTGCAACACCTCTTGCATCTGTTCAACCGTGGCATTGATCGCACGGTGGCTGTGGCTTCCTACGCCCGAGTTTTCCGGAGTACGGCCAGCGAGCACGGCTTCGATCGACTCGCGGTGATCGTCGAACGTCTCATCCTGCAGAACGCTTGGCCAGCGGACTTCGTTCGAGACGAACCCCAGTTCGGCTTCGGTCAGGCGAGCCGGTTTTGCGCTTTCGTTCCAGCGAGCGATTTGCTCGGGAGTGGCGTGCGGGCGACGTTCGGCGGCCCGTTCGCTGCTGTTGATGCGACGCATTTCAAAGTAGGTCTCGGCGTACTTCACCCGATTGTCCAGGTTCATGCTGCGGGCTTGTTCCAAGTTGATCGCCGCGGCTGAAGTGTTGAGGTTGTATTCGCCTTGGGCACGAGTCAGGGCGGCTTGTCCACGCAGGTAGCTGCCGTATACGGTCGATGCTCCGTAAGGTCGGCCGTAGCCACCCCAACCTCCCCAGCCATTGTTGAAATAGGGGCGAACGACCACGCCGGTCGCGGCGGCGGGGCCATCGGCTAATGCCACGGCCGACGTCAAACAGGCAACCAGCGTCAGGGCGAGGAAAGTAGCCGAGCGTTTCATGATCCGTCTCCAAACTCGTTTGTTTCTCAGGGTTTCGTGGGGCCATGCTTACTTGCACTGGCGTAACGGTTTCCTAGAAGTAACAACCGGCGCGCCAATTCGGAGAAAAACCCGCAATGAAATTCTGAAATTGTGCCAAATTAAGGACTTACGCGTTCCTGGCCGGAATCGCGCTTTTTGGGCGGAATGCCAGATCTGTCCCGAATTGGGACACTTTTCTAAATTCGAGATTCGCCGCTCGCAGGCTGGACCTGAGTCACTCTTCTCTGCAGTGGGGTTTGGGTGCGAATGTTAGCGGGGTGCGATATATTGAGTTCACGAATACGTAGCGTGCTGTCTGATTTCCAGGTGGGGAGCAGGTCTGATGGCGACATTCAAAGAACTGACCAACTTCTTCGTCGAGTTGGGGGCCGGCAAAGTCGAGCACACCGAGTCGGTCTACCTGGCTCACGCGATCGGCGTCCATAACGACTTGCGGGCATGGGGATGCAGCGAAGAGATCTGCTGGGCCGGCATGTTCCACTCGATCTACGGCACCGAGTTGTTTCAGCGGTTCGCGCTCCCGTTGGATCGGCGCGACGAAGTTCGCGAATTGATCGGCGATCGGGCCGAGCAGTTGGCATACTTGAACTGTGCCATGGATCGGGCTTCGTTCGACGCCGCCGTGGCCCGCGGAAAACCACCGTATCGGTTTCGCGACCGGCTGACTTCCGAAGAAGTCGAGCTCTCTGAGCAAGATTTCAACGACCTGGTAACGATTCACCTTTGCGATTGGCTCGAACAGGTCGAGCGGAGTGATATGTGGGACTATCGCCTGGAGCAGTACCGCAACATGGCTGAGTATCTCGGCGGTATAGCACTGGAGAACTACCACCGCGTGTTCGATCAACTAGGCAGCCAGCCGTGTGAAGCAACCGAAGGGTAGACTCACGCCGGCGATGGTCATCCCTGTCTATTTCGCAACTCTTCTGAACTCGATTCGATCAAGCAGCAAACGATGGCGAGAGATCAGATAATCGTAGGACATTGCCCCAAGTGTTTGGGCGAGAACCTATCTTGCTCTTACAACCACTTCGAGAAGGATGACCTCACGATCGACTCGTGGGAGCACAAATGTCCCGACTGTGGCTTCCGCGATACGAAGGCTTACCGCTCGGATGAGCCGGACCCCGAGGACGAGACGTTGAATCCGGCGATCTGTCCTTATTGTTCTCGCAGACCACGCTAAGTGGTGATATCTTCCGTCGCCGATGCAACGCTGCTGGGTTGCTAGCAGTAGCTCACCTGGCGTTGGATTAAAGGAACGCGGACCTGCGGTCGATGATCAGCAAGCACGACCATGGAGGATCGACGCTTGTTTTCTAGGGCCCAACATCAGCGACCGCGTCGCCGTTTTCTCTTCGCACTCCTCGGTTGCGCCCCCATCGTGACGATGTTTGCCGGGTGTCCTGCGATGTCTCCCAGACACGTGATGGTCGACGGGATCATGAGCGAGATGCATCGCGGCTCGGAAGAAGGCACCTACCAGCGGATGCGGAACGATATGGAAGCCACCGAAGGCCGCCCCATCGTTCAATAGTCACGCATATGCTTCGCGGTACTCTCTCGATCACCGTTGGGCATAGCCAGGCGAATCTGCCCCGCACTATGATGGACGCTTCGGCACGCTACTGCCGCCGAGCCTGTCTGATTCTCCGTGGAAGACTTCCTCCATGTCGCACTCGCAACCCGACGAATCTGCCTTCGATCTCGAGCAGATCACCAGCACCACCTTTGTGAAAGAGGTGATCTGTCACAAGACGATCGATTCCACCAATAATTTCGCGCTGGAACTGTGTCGCTCGAACCAAGTGAGTGGGGCGCTGTTGATTCTCACAGAGGAACAAACGGCCGGCCGCGGGCGGGGCGAGAATGTGTGGTGGTCGACCGATGGCTCGCTGGCGTTTTCGCTCGTTATCGACACTGACGAGTTCCGCTTGCCCCAAGAGCTATGGCCGCAGGCCTCGTTGACGACCGGGTTGGCGGTTTGCATGGCGTTGGAGCAATTGCTTGGTGAGGGGCACGTTGCGCTGAAATGGCCGAACGACGTTCATCTGCAAGGACGCAAGATTGGGGGGATCCTCGTAGAGGTTGGGCCCCGTCCCTCCGGCAAGCTGGTGCTCGGAATCGGGCTGAACGTGAATAATTCGCTGGCCGAAGCATCGAGCGAGTTACAAGCCAGGGCCACTTCGTTGTTCGACTTCACGGGGCGCGACTTCATGCGAACCGATGTGCTGACGGCAATTCTCGCGCAGCTCGAACAGCAACTTAGCCGGCTGGCGCTGCGCGATCCTCTGCTGGCCAACGATTGGCAGTCACGCTGTGCACTCCGCGGCAAGACCGTGGAAATCGACTCCGGCAAAAAACGCGTTCAGGGAACTTGCCAGGGAATCGATGTGGATGGTGCGCTGGTTGTGGTCACGGAAGAAGGGCCCCAACGAATCTTTGGCGGCACCGTGACTCACATCGACTGAGTGTTCAATACGACGTGTGTGTTAGACACTCGAACGCTGAAGTTCGATGATCCACTCCGGCGTCTCATTTACATACGCTTCGATGTGCTTGCGACACGAGAAGTAGTAGAAAGCGTTCAAGCCCTGAAAGATGATGCTCAGCACGATTACCGAGCCGTAGACGGCAACCACAACCCCCGTCACGAGCTGGTCGATGCCTCCGACTGAGTCGAGCGATGAAGAAAGCTCTGGGTAGGCCTTCAGTTCGTTTGCTAAGGCACCTCCGCCGGAGAGGCTGGTGTAGAGCGTCCAGGCGCAGTAGAGCACGATGATCGTGAGCAGTGCGAGTTGGTTCCAGGCCAAAGCCTCGGGTGCTTTGAGATCGAACCGCAGCAGGCCCTTGCGTCCGCGGAACTCGTTGGCGGCTAAAAGCGCGAGTGAGACGGTAATAAGAAGCCCCACAAAACTGAACAGGGCGAACGGTGCCGAGATGACCGCGCAGATGGCCATCGCCCAACCGTTGAATGCAGCTACTCCGGCGGCCCGACGGATCTTCTTCGCCCTTTGGTTGGCCAGCGCGAGCTGTTCGTGATGCTCGCGTTTGAGCGGCCCTTCGGCGGTTTTGTCGGTCGTGGCGGCACTCATCATGGGGCCATGCTGTAGGGGAAGTTTCCGAAAACATCAGTAGGACGTACGGCTAGGTGAAGTGTACGTCGTAGGGGCCGTGAGGTTAATTCAACCAGTCGCGTGCTCCCACTTAGCGAACTGGGAGGCCTTGCAAGCCTCTGCAATGAAACCACTTAACGGTCCCTCGAAAGATGGCCTAGGTGGTGACTCCCAGCGGCGGTTCTGCACATATTTCTTCGGCAGACCATGGTTGCAACTCGCGGAGCGTTTTCACGTCGATCTGCCCTGAGTCGAGCAGACCCGTCTTTGCGTCGGCGATTCGCCACTGCATCTGCGAACTGCCTAGTGGTTGCGATTCGACGAAGATGCACCGCAGTTCGCCCTCTTCGAAGCCGCATTGTTCTTGCAGTGCGGCCAGCAACTGTTCGTTGTGCAGGTGGCCGTCGCCAAAGTTCCAACCCAGAGCCATACCGGCCACGAGTTCGCCATCGACCCATTCGTATTCCTCGAAGCAGTCGATCGCCTTGGGGACGAGCACGGTCAGAGCACGGCCGTGCAAGTGCATCAAGCGAAAACCGATGACCTTGCCCACCAGTCCCACGGCTTGCCCCCGGTTGTAGAAGCGGTCGAGCTGATCGTAGACCCAGGCGGAACTCTTTTTCAGCACGTCGAGTTTTTTGTAAGCGTCGCCACGGAAGAACCACACGCTGAACGCCCAGTTGCCGGCGTAGTATCGCATCGAAGGGAGAAACGAAATCCGCGCGGGGAATAGATTTCCCAACAAGGGAACCAGCACCACGCAGAAAACCAAGAACAAGGCCACCGGCCAGGGCCCAATGTCGAACAGACTCACGGTGGCGTTCTGCCAGAACAGGAAGAACCCGCTGTAGACCACCATGAAGTTCCATTCCAGGGGAACGCCCATCGGCACGTTGCTTGTGATGTAGACGTGCAGCATCAGCATCAGCACGATGCCCAAGGTGGTTACCCAACCACCGTTGCCCATCAGTAGCACGATCGGTACCGAGAATTCCAGGGCGGTTCCTGCATGGCCCATGAACACGGCGAATCGCGAGGGACGGAGGTCCACGGGATAATCGCGATACATCCGCCGACGCAGCCATTGAAAACGGGTGAAGGGCCCGTTGCTGGTCATCACGCATACCACGCAGGGAAAGTGATGATTGAGCTTCGACATTCCGGCCCAAAACCATAGGGCTGCCTGAACCCCTTTCGCGCCCGCGATCCAATCGGTGGCGAACGCGAAACAAACCACCACGACCCAATAATGTTCGGATCGGGCAGCGAGAAAGATCGTCTTGTCGGCCACTCCCAGCAGCGGAATCAACAGGGCAATCGGCCATAAAAGATTGAAGCCAATGGTCGGAGCGACCAATGCCCGCACCAGGCAGACGAGTAGGGCCAGATAGAGGGCCGCGTCGAGCCAGCTTCGTTTCACTCCGCCGAGAAGCGGTAGTTTGGGGAACAGCGAAAGCTTTGTGGTTCCCGGGCGGAGGAAATGTAGGGCCCCGCCGATTGGAGGGACGTATCGTCCCGTGAGCGGTCCACTACCGCAGCCGAGCCCGAGAACTTCGAACAACATGCTCCACAGCACGGCCTTTTGAAACGCGATCGGTAGCAGCCACCAATCGCCGATATTGGTCAGAGAATTGATGCCGGCGGAGAATCCGCAGAAGAAGATCCACATCGCAATGTAGAAGACAATCTTCAATCCGTAGAAGATCATCCCGGTGATGGGTGCGCCGTAACCTTGCATGGCCCACGACTCGCAAACCATGCGGGCTTTTTCGGGAAACGGCTTCTTCGCCCAATCCAACGGATCGTAGGGCGGTGCGATCGGATCGAGAAGTCCCATCGAGCCTCACAGTGCAAGAGAATCAACAAACCCACCGAGCGGCCCGACGGAGCTGTGTCCTTAGTTCACCGGACCCACATCGAGCACCAATTTACCATTGGTACAGGCCCGTGTGGATAAAACTTTCGGTGGTGTGCGGAAGAGATGCTCTCGCCGCTAAGTGGCGGCTCGCATTCCACCGCGGACGGCGCCGGCGCGGGTATCGCCGAAGTTATCGGCGAACCGCGGATCAAGCGGGCGGCTATTCGGCACGGCCAACCAGATGCGCAACAGGTGGCGACGCTTGTCTAGTTCGGGGTAATCCTCGAACTCTTCGCGGCGGTGCAGCGTGACCCAATTGTTCAGCAACAGCACATCGCCGCGGTGGAGGTCGAAGCTCACGCTCAACTCCGGATCGGCGGCGACGGTTTCGATGAGATCGAGGGCCTCGCGTTGCTCAGCGGTCATCTCCGGCAATTCAGGCATCTCGTAGGCCCGATCGATGAGAACGCGGAGATAGCTGGCCGCGAAATGCCCTTCGCAGAACGAAAAGATGGGTTGCTGACACCACGGCTTGGCGTTGCCGGTGTCGACATTGTGTCGCCGCGAAAAGTACGGCTGCATGAGTAGGTCGATCAACTCGGGCCGCCGACGGAGGATCTCGTTGTAGACCGTCATCGAACTGACGATTTGGTTACCACCGCCAGAGCGTGCTGGCTGCAGGCAGAGGAAGGCGATCACGTCGCAGCGGTCGGTGTGGAAGCTGAGCCGCTTCTTGGTGTTGGGCCCACGGGCTTTGGGGTGCCCGACCTGGTACCCCTCGTCACGAACGCTGAAGATTCGCTCACCGGTGGCGCTCTGCGAGACGGGAGTTCCCACCCCGCGGGCGATAGCCCAAAAAACGGCTCGGGCCTGGTCTTCAGTCAACTCGTCGACGGGAAGCCCCTTCAACAGGCAGGCCCCTGAACCGTGCTCTAGGTCGTATTGAATCTGTTTCAGCAACGGAGACAACTCGGGCAGGTTCGCAAGCTTGTCGGTCTCGGCCGATGCGAGGCTGGACTTGTTGGCCAGGATTGCGTCCGACTGCTCGGGCGTTAGTTCGCGGCACCAATCGTCCCGGCGAAACAGTTCGTCGCCACGCCACGCGGCAGGGTGTTGGATGGGTTCAGGCATAACCCTGGTGTAGTGGTGAGCCAGCGTGGCGTCAATGCGGGGCAACTATTGCATTTCGAAGTAGGCCTTCGCGTAGCGTCGGCCGAGCTCACGGTAAGACTCGGCGTCGAAGTGCACTTCGTCTCCCTTATGGTTCAGCCCGTCGGATGTGACGAAGGCACAATTGGGCACGGTCTCGGGCAACTCTTGATGGGCGGCGTCGACGAGTTTCTTCTCTTCTGACCAGAGCCGCTCTTCGAATTGGCCCATCTGACCAGCGATGAAGGGGACCTCTGGTGCGTCGAACTCTTGGCGAAACCTTGCGATGAGTTCGTGGAGCTTCGTTTCGTACTGTTCGGCCAGTGGCGACTTCGAATCCGACTCGCCCTGGTGCCAGAGAATTGCCTTGAGCGTGCCTGAGTCCAGGGCTTTCTTCATCCGGGGCATCGTGTCGTCGTAAGGATGCGTCTTCGTCGCGGCGTCATATGCCCCGGGTTCCCAGCTGGAAATCGGCGAGCCCCCGACGGCACACGGGATGAGACCCACAACGATGTCGGGATTGGCCTCGGCAACCTCAATCGCAAACGAACGCCCCAGCCCCACGCCGGCCACCTTTGGTTTGTCGAAGTGCAGCGGAGCCACCGCGGGGACCCATTCACCCTCTTGCGACAGCATCAACACTCGCGGGTGTGGTTCTCGATCTTGTTCAGTCACCTTGCCTCGTCCGGCCATGTTCGACTGCCCGGCTAGGAGGAAAAGGTGGAAGTGCTCTTTGTCGGGAAGTTCAACGGTCGCGGGCTCTTGGGCGAATGCCGAAGCCGGCAGAGTACTCAATATCAAGATGGCCCAAGAAAATATGCTCCGCATGGATCGGTCCTTTGCAATGTTGTCGGCGGCAAGATGTTGAAGTGAGGTCGCATGCATGTATTCAGGGATGGGATATTATTATTCGATCCTTAGCCGGTTGCCAATTTGTTGGCCTTGCCCTAATCGAACCACCGCGATCCTGCTTTAGAGAAGATAGAAAGCGTTTTCTCTCAATATCTACCAACGGTGAACGAAAGACATACTGACGCGATTCTCGGTGTTTGGCGAGTTTTCTAATGAAGCCTTATTCACACACACAGCACGGACCACAGATCTACATTCTTTTGGCGGTTGCCCTGGTCTTGGCAGCCTCCGCCTACGCGACCTGGGGACAACATCAGGTGGGGTTGGTGCTGGCGGCCTCGGGCGCCCTGGTCTTTGTTCTCGCTTTCTGCTTTCGCACTTTGACGGTGGAAGACGAGGGCGATGTGCTCCAGGCGAGATTCGGCCCAATACCGCTCTTCCGGAAATCGATCGCATATGCAGACATGACGCGCGTCGAAGCGACCAGGTCGAGGGT